GACCAAACATCGGTAAAATTTCATTTGCAACCTAAATGCGTATCAATCAGCACACTTTTTTCTAAAACTGCGCAACGGCCAGCATAGGCATGCCAGAGGATAAGAGAATAAAATTAACGCAATAAGTATTAAAGCCAAATACTGCGGTCGTGAAAGAGTCGCTTAATTCGCAAACGTTGCAGCTATAAGTCAAAATCGATGATACCTACAATTAAACTTATGGTACAAAGAGGCATTTTATGCATGGGTCCACGCGTTGAGGTCCAAAAGTAGGTAAAATTAAGCCCTCGGACACCTCCTTCTTTGAGTGAAGATCGTTGTAAACAGAAAGCAAAAATAATGCAGCGAATGTGATACTTCTGGTAGTTGGTTTTCGGAGAGGCGAAAAAAGAAGAAATCAAAGGCTAGGTTCATAGCAGGCTTACCAGTGTTAAGACGTATATGACTTAATGGACCGAAACGTCTTATCTTACTCTTGCTTTCTCCCTTACACTGTTTCTTTCCTCCTGAATTCTTTCGCACCTATGCCATCTGCACTTCCAGGGTTAACCTGGATGCTAAAATCTGCTTACCGACAAAGCAACTTCAGTAGCAACAATCAGTTTTTCATGCTATAGCGCGCTGTACCGAAACGACCGCTAATAAAAGCGTCACAGAAATCACATTTGCCTGTCCGACATTTCTGAGAGTGCTATACAAACACAAGGCATCACCTGAGACAAATATGTGATGTCAGTTCGGAATTCGCTGAAGCTCTTGACGAAAGGCATTATCATGCACAAAACACAAAGCGCTGTTTCGTCATTTTCCATAATTCTGTAGTATTTCAAAAGATCATCTAAAGTAATCCGGCGAAATAAGCTTTCACTGAGCATGCCGATGGCATTGGCAGCGAGAAGTGCCAAATGCGCATCCGATTTCCGGGGATTCTTCATTGATTTTTCCAAAATTGTGTAGACTGCTTCAATTTCTGAAAGAAATACATTATCACATGCAATTATTTATGTTACCATTCCGTATCAGTGTGATTATTTTTTGTATGTTTTACGGAAATCTCTACGGAAAAACTATATCGAGTTGGTATCATTCCCCTACTCGGTAAGCTGGCTCATCGTGGTCCAGAAACGGTAACATTAAGGAAGAGGCGCTGGGGCTCTACAAACACCAAAGTTTCCTGGATGAAATATTTATTCCAGCTGTACAGCCCTCTTGAGACGAAAGTCATGATGCAGATGAGCAGTCCGATCTGATCCAGCACTCTATCGATATTTCCGAGTTTAAGAGAAGTGAAAAATATTCTCAACGGCCTAAACTTCCTTGCCAGTTACATGTGCCAGTAGTATCGCTGAGATGGTAATGCATTTGGAGCTGAAGATGAAAATGGGCCATCTGGAGATGCAGCATGGATCACAGTAAGTTCGATGCGTGTGCGATGCATGGAGGAATAATCCGATGCATCAGACTAAGAAATACAGTCGATCCAAGTATCTCAAGCCCCTAATGTCATCAAAAATCCTTCAAACCCTTAACGTCATTTGAAGCGAAATGATTCAAAGACTTAATGCCATTAAAAATCCAAATACTTCAAGCACTGATTACTCAATTTAAATTGTATGCTTAAAAAAAGTAACACAGTTTCTCTTCTGACTCCACCCAATGTTCCTACAGAAAAGAATTCATTACTCATATAAATAATAATTGGCCAACGCACGGGCTGCCCGTGCGAAGATGCGTTTTTTGCACGGTTCCCCGCAGTTTCTGTTGCTACCGGCATTGGCTTTTCCGGCAAATGCATCTAGCTGAACAAATTAAAATTGGCCACCAGGACTGTCAGAAAACATTCCCTTTAAAATCCCAACTTTCTAGCTTTCCTGGCACCTATGTTAGCAACTTACTGGAACAAAATTTTCACGGGCCCGTGCATGTTTAACAAGCATGCCTAAGAGTTGGGTTCGGGCTCAATGAAACTTAGGTGGACGGAGTATATCCTCTTAAAATTGCATTCCTT